CTACCATATGTTTGCACATATAGGAGGATTAGGAGGAACTTAAGGAAGGACCATGGGGGAGAAGAAGGGGGAAAATAGTGGGGGAGAGGGAAGGAGGCAAACCATGAGAAACTCTTGAATGCCGAGAACAAACTGAGGGCAGATGGGGTGGGGGAAGGGAGAGGGGGTGATGGGCATGGAGGAGAGCGCTTGTGGGAATGAGCACTGGGTGTTATATGGAAACCAACTTGATAATAAACTGTTTAAATTTTTAAAAAAAGACTTGAATGTGAGATCTGAAACCGTAAAACTCCGTGTTTTCTAAAAGAAAACATAGGCAGTAATATCTTGGACATCACGTTTGCAACATATTTGCAGATATGTCTCTTTGAGCAATGGGGGAAAAAACAAAAATAAACTATTGGAACTACCCCAAAATAAAAAGCTTTGACACAGCAAGGGAAACTGCCAGCCAAACAAAAAGGCAACCTACCAAATAGAAGAAGATATTTGCAAATGATGTATCTGTTAGAAGTTTATATCCAAAATATATAAAGAACATAACACCAAACAATCCAGTTTTTAAAAATGGAGAGAGGACCTGGATAGACCTTTTTCCAAAGAAGACATAGAGATGGCCAACAGACACGTGAAAAAATATTCAACACTGTAATCATCAGAAAAATGCAAATCAAAACCACAATAACATATTACCTCTCACCCATTAGGATGGCTACTATCAAAAACAAAACAGAAAATACCAAGTGTTGGCGAGGATATAGAGACATTGGAACCCTTATGCACTAATAGTATCAAAAAGAAATATTTAGGAATATATTTTAGAAAGCATAAGGTTTATGTGTTGGAAACTGCAAAACATTAATAGAAATTAAGAAGGCCTAAGTAAATGGGAATACATCCCATGTTCATGGCTGAAAAGACTTAATAATGTTAAGACAGCAGTCCTACTCAAATTGGTCAGATTTAATGAAAATCCTAACCAAACCTCTAGCTACTCTTTCTGCAGAAATGGACAAACCGATCCTAGTCCCGTTACAGAAATCCTAGGAACCTGGAATAGTTGAAACAGTCTTGAGAAACTACAACAAAGCTGGAGGACTCAAAGTCCCATTTTCAAAACTTGCTACAAAGCTTCAGTAATCAAGGCAGTATCGCACTGGAAAAGGGGTAGATATGTAGATCTGTGAAAAGAATTGAGGGTCAGAAATGAACACATGTATTGATAATGAATTTATTTTTGACTTGAGGGTCAAGATAACTCAAGGGGAAAGAATAGTCTTTTCAACAAATCGTGCTGGAACAATTGAATGTCCACATGCAAGAAATGAAGTTGGATCCCTACCTCGTATCATATATAGAAATTAACTCAATATGGACCCATACTTAAATGTAACAGCTAAAACTGTAAAACTCATAGAAGAAACATAGAGATAAAATCTCATTAACTTGGATGTGGCAGTAGATTCTTAAAAATGATACCATCAGCAAAAGCATCAAAAAATAAATTAGGTTTTATCTAAAGTAAAACCTTTACTATTTGGAATATATAAAAACCTTACCCATTTTTTTAAAGTGGGCAAAGGATTTGAATAGACCCTTCTCCAAAGAAGATATAAAATGGTCAATGAACACATGAAAAGAGGCTAACCATCATTAGTCATTAGGGCTATGCAAACCAAAATCACGGCATACCACTTTATAGCCACGGGGATGCCTATGATTTTTTTTTACACAAAGGAAAATAGTTTATAATCAACTATAAGCTAGACTCAAATACTGATACATGCCACAACATGAATAAACCTTGAAAACATTATGCCAAGCGAAATAAGCCAGAAACAAAGGCCACATATTGTATGATTTCATTGCTATGTAATGTCCAGAAAAGCCAGTCCAAAGTAGATTGGCTTTTGTCAGTTCTGGGGAGAAAGAATAGTGACTGCTAATGAGTAAGGTTCCTATTGAGGTAATGAAATGCTCTGGAATTAGATAATGGTAATGGTGGCATAACCTCATGAATATATTACTAGTACTGAATTGTACATTTAAAAATTTTTTTAATGTTTACTTTTGAGAGACAGAGCAGGAGAGGGGGAGGGATGGAGAAAGAGGGAGACACAGAATCCGAAGCAGGCTCCAGGCTCTGAGCTGTCAGCACAGAGTTCAACAGAGGCTCAAACTCACAAGTTGTATGATCATGGCCTGAGTGGAAATTAGATGCTCAACCAACTAATCAACGTGCCACCCACGTGCCCCCGAGTTATACATTTTAAATGGTGACTTTTATGGTATTTGAATTTCAATTTAAGAAAAAGTTAAAGTCAGGTGGTGCCTGGGTGGCTCAGTCAGTTAAGCGTCCCACTCTCCGTTTCAGCTCTGGTCACCATCTCACAGTTCGTGAGTTCAGGCCCTGCATCACGCTCTGTGCTGGCAGTGCAGAGCCTGCTTGGGATTCTCTCTTTCCCTCTCTCTCTCCCCCCACTCTCCTGCCCACACCCTCTTTGTCTCTCTCAAACCTTAAAAAGTTTTAAAAATATATATATCCATCACCACACCTTAAGTCAAAGTCAAGCTTGATAACTGTTTTAGCTGGTGAAGATACTAGCCATACCATTCTGAAGATGAGAGAAAAAACAGGGGTTTGGGTTTAAAAAGAAACAAAAATAATAAACTCAAATAATCATCATAAGAACTAGAATTTAATTGTATCCTACAGCTGGAAGCCCATATAACTGGTGATATTGACCACTAGCTGATTTCAAATCTAATCTCTTAACTCTTCTAAAATAAAGGAATAAAAAAAAGTGAAAATGCCTCTAGGGTTACCACCTTAGAAGCAGAAAGGAGCCTTTTTTTTTTTTTTTTTTAACTGTTCCTCTTCTGGTTTGAGTTTAGGGAACAGGTTAGAAGGCAAGGGCATTGTGCCATGAAAAGGAAAGGTAATATTTCTTCAGATATACAGGGGAGCCTGAAATGTTGATCCCACCAGAGCAGCTGGCTACACAGCTACTCTCCCAGCCAGCAGTCTCCCCTTAACCACCCTGTGTGTAGCACACGTGTTTCCATTTTCTGTGTGTTTCTGAAATGAAATGGAGGAAAGCAGCACTGCTCTTAGGATCATCTCTTCCTGGTCATCTACTGAGCATTCTTAATTGTCATTGATTACTTTTCAGAGATCTGTATAGCAGTTTCCAAGTGTACCTATCTGGTATCAGCAAGATTAATTTGGTATCATTGTAAAATACTTCTATAGAGAGAGAGTACATACTTGTTATTTATTATTTGTCATTTTCTAAGTACTTACAAATCAAATATTAACTAATTCAGGCTGGAATTTTATTAGAGATTAATGTCAAACTTTATTGAATTATAAATGCTTTTTTAAATCTTCTCTTAACTCTTCTGACAGCTCTCCCCATATTAACAATTTCCGAAAAGTAGTGATGCCATGTTCATTTCTGTAGGTTATTTTAACAATCTGAGATATCTCTGCAGATGATAATATACTTAGAGAGTCTTCTAGACCCTCACATTATATACTAACTTAACTGGGAATTATAAAATGTGCAAAGAATTCTTTATAAGCCATTTGGAATAATAGACTGGAAACCTTGGGGTAGTTGAGATGATGGGAATAGATAGCAGGGAAGATCTATGTGAATATTTATCCCTTCGCTTCCATGCTATCTAGAATATGAGTCTCCCATTTGAAAGGCTAGAGTGTGTTTTGCTTTAGATAGAACTTTTGACTTCTGTTTTCTTTAAATTTTTTTTTAATGTTTTATTTATTTCTAGGAGAGAGAGAGAGAGACAGCGTGAGCAGGGGAGGGTCAGAGAGAGAGAGAGTCACAGACTGAAACAGGCTCCAGGCTCTGAGCTGACAGTCAGCACAGAGCCCGACGCGGGGCTGGAACCCACGAACCGTGAGATCATGACCTGAGCGAAAGTCGGACGCTTAACCGACTAAGCCACCCAGGCGCCCCTGACTTCTGTTTTCTTTTAATGGATACTTTACCATCTAAACAGTGACCAAGTATCACTGTTTCATTTGTATCATTTGTAAATTTGTGTCTATTGGTCTTTGCTAGGAAATATATTTGGATAGGAACACATTTGTTAAGAATAGATACTGACTGGATGGCTCTACTTTGGACTTACTGAATTTAAGAATAAATCTGCATTGTTGACCTAATATCCTGTACACATAAGTAGAAGTGATACCTTATATTTTTAAAAGATTCAGTCGCTGGCTTTTGTTTTACTACTGATAACTTTTAAGGTTTGGAGATGTAATTTTGTTTCACAAATTGGTTCGTGTTTATCATGTCTGCAAACCTCATTTTGACTAACTTTAGTTTGAGCATTCATTCTGGATTGGTTCTTAAATTTTAGTGATGTTCATCCTAAAAGAGTAAATCAGTACTAATAATAATAGGAAAATCAAGGTACAAAGAACATTGTTTCTCCAGTAAAGTGCTGTCATAGCCCATGATTGGTGTCTGTTTCTCCTGGACCAGCGTCCCTTCCACCTGACTTTTACTTGCTAGGGATCTTGTGGCCTACCCGGCATCTATTGAACTCTGGGGCTCCTTAAAGTCCCATCTGAGTTCACTTCTCTTTTATGAGACTTTTTAAAAATATCCCTAATTCTTTTAGAAGTGACATTCTATAATAAAATATTTATATTTTTTGTGACCTTTTTGATTAAACTCATAATGTGTTAACTAAACAAATTGACAATCTGCATACATGTCTACATTTCTAGACATGTCTAGAGGTGTGCAGATTGTCAATTTCCCAGGATTTTCCTAGTGCACATGATAGTACATTCTTGAAGAATACCATGTAAGTATCCCAGGATTAGGAACATTTTTTATTACTAAAGAGATATAATTTGAAACATTTTCAGAATATATTTTGAGTACTCAAAATGATAGTGGAAAATGACACCTGCGATTTCATTACAAGGTATATTTTAACTAATAATCTGTTTCCTTTAGGGTTTAATGAAGAAATTCATTCGATGTTCTACACGTGTAACTGTGGGAACTATTAAAAAATTTTTAAGTTTAAAACTAAAACTTCCAAGTTCTTATGAGGTAAGTTAATAATATAATCCTGATCATTTTGATAACTCTGATATGAAGCAAAATTCTAACAAAAGTAAAAAATTAATAGAATACATTTAATTTTTATGGAAACGGGTTATTTCTATGTTAAAAATTAATTTTGAGAATGTAATATTCTGTTTATGTAATCTGTATTTTTTTTAACATCTGACCAAAACATACTAATGCATTTAGTGTTGCACGGTTAGAGGAGATACTTAAATAATATTGAGTAGTCCAAAAATAAATATCTCCGCTAACTGGACTTTTTTTTTTTTTAATGCCAACATGCTTTAAGTTCTTTTTTTTTTTTTTTAATCTGAGACCTTTGAGATCCTGTTTTACCAATTCTTTATAGACTTCTTTTTGATAATGTAAAACACTGTCTTTTTATGAAAAGGGATTTCATAAACACTGTTCCTTTAATTATGTGATCTACAAAAGCGATATTGTTTAACAGTAGGTAAAACCAACATAATTACATCTGTATAAATGGAATCTACCAGTTTCCTTACAAGAGAGATAAATTACCCTGATATTGATCACAACACAGCTTGTAATGTGTTCAATGTGTAAATAATGTTTAAGATCCTAGAATCATAGCTGTAACGTAATGAAGAGATACAGCTACCATTTCTCACCTGCCCAAATGGCAGTCTTACAACTTAATTTTCTCTTCCTCCCCTTTGGGGTCTGATAGCAGCTTCTGAAAAAACGAAATGCCAAGACTAGTGTTCTATATAAACAAAGACATCAAAGGCAACATAGTTCTTCAGGCTTATGTATAATAATATTTATATGAATAGTTTATCATAGTAATAAAATACGATTTGAACATAGGCATTGATAGATATTAAGTCTGTTTTGAGGAAGCCTCTGATACTAAATTTATTTAAAAATTTCTCTCAGACAAGTAATTCATCTATGGATTAAAAATTCTTTTTATGGTTTGGTCCCACACCGATTAAAACATTTCCAGAGACATCAACTTTTACATTAGGGGGAAAATTTTTGAAAGTTAATCAAAGCCCTATGTACTTGGTAAAGTAAAAGATAACAATTTATAGATACAACAATGAAAATAGAAAATGAAATTGTTTTTGTACTTTATTGTCCTCTTACAAAATACCACATGCAGTTTTATTTCCTTACTTTTAGGTGTGACTCACTGAGTTATTTTCTAGTTTCAAGGAAGTTGTTAGAGCTGAGAGGATGATTTCTTTCACATGGTCTTACTGCCGGCACATACAGTCTCTCTCCATAGAAAACGGCAAGGCAGGAGACTCCATCCACTGACAGCTCCTTATCTATCCCAATGTAAAGGACTTTTCCTGTGACCTTTAGAAACATTTACTGGTTCCTCCATTATTTTGGTGAATATATATATATATATATATATATATATATATATACACACACACACACACATACATACATACATACATATAGGGTGATGTATTAATGAAATATCTAACAGCTGAAGCCTTTTGCAACAGCATTGCTCATTGGGGCAAGATGATTTAGTTTGTAAATGACAACAGAAGCCTATCGAATTAGGGATTGTACTCTAAATCTCTTTACTTCTTTGCTTATGAATTTTTTTCATAGGCAAGATAACAAAAATATAATCATCAGGGCACCTAGGTGGCCCAGTCAGTTAGCCGTCTGACTTTTGATATCAGTTCAGGTCATGATCTCACTATTCGTGGGTATAAGGCCTGCATCAGGCTCTGTGCTGACAGTGCAGAGTCTACTTAGGATTCTCTCTGTCTACCTCTCTCTGCCCATCCCATGCTCTGTCTCTCTTAAACTTAAATAGTGAATAAAATTATCTATTTTGTCTTTTAAAAAATGTCTAAAAAACATTTTGAGGTCCATTTAAGTCCCCATAAATCATCAAAATATCAATATAGTCTAGCTAAACATTTATCTAATACAGTTGGAACTCTACTCATTTTAGCCTTAAAGTTCAGGACTCTCTAGTCTCTGTCTAGCCAAACACAGAATTATTTAAAACCCATTCTTCTCCCTTTGCACACTTTAAACTCTATCAGTCTGCTTTTAATAGCTGAAGAACCAAAATGTTTTACTTTAGGAGCCTCTGATAAATGTTTATGCTTTGCTGAATTGGCTAATCATAGCCACAGTTCCTGGGGCCTCAAGGGTTTGGGGGGGTTGTTTGGTTCCTGCAGCTCTAGAGTAAAAGTGAGCTTTGAAACACGCAACCTTTTTTCAAGTGAGAAGAGGGCCCTGTAAGTATTATGCAAGTTACCAACCAAGCAAAACAGGCCAGAAAGCCCTAGAAGATCCAGGCCTGTGGTGTGGTCCTAACTGTTCTGTCAACTTAGCTACATGTAATTACCAGAAGTTCTCATATGCCTTCAAGTCCCCATAAATCTTATATCCACATTCATTCATTTACCCTCTTGGAATACAAACTAATAAAGAGGAAAGCAAGTCCTCTAAATCTTTGGAAGGTGAAAGGATCCTGAGAGGCGAGCTCATAAGCCCCAGGTGCTGCGAGGTCTCCACAGTTCCTCCTCCTTCTGTAAGAGACAATCATGGAAATGTGTCTAAACCTTTAAGTGCACCGAGACATGGACTAAGAAGGCTTACACTGCATTTCAAAATGATGTGTATAGACTTGAGTGACAGGTATGTGGGACAAGACAAGCAATCCTTCATGTTACTTCTTTCTGAATTGTTAATACTTATGAAATGGACCAATGCTTTAATAAAAATATTCAATGTTCTTTTTAAATAGTGGATAATACTCCTAATTTTTATACTATTTGAATCTTTTTTGAAATTTGGAAAAAAAAGACACTTATGCATTACTTATGTTAATGGGTCTGTAACTATTCTTTTTAAAGTTGGATGTGCTGTGCAATGGTGAAATTATGGGGAAGGATCACACCATGGAATTCATCTACATGACAAGATGGCGACTAAGAGGCGAAAACGTAAATTGCTTTTATATTTACCTATGTGTATATTTAGTTCTATGTTATTTTGTTACTCCTATTTAACAATATTACTTAGAAACAAAAACAAAGCTAGCTTGGGAAAGAGAAGAAACGGATTCCTTTTACTGATTATCCTTGCTGCTCCATGACAAGTGGTCCCAAGTACAAGACCAAGGTCCATGTTAAATGTGGTTTTGTTATATTTAAGGTGAGTTAAAACTCCCATCTAAAAAGAACTCTACTAACCTCAAGACAAAGAAAATGGCATTTACATGCTTTTAAACCCCAGTAAAATATGGGAACTTCTAACTATATGGAGTTGAGTGGGGAGACAAAGTTTTGCCATGATTAGTACGTTTAATGGTTGATGTTATTTTTTTGTTGTGCAAGAAGGGACAGATAGGGTAGAATCTAGGTAATCTGTTTTTCAGGTACCTCCTTTTCCGTGCAAGTATAAAATCGGACCAAAGGGTAAGTGAGTTTGCAGTGGTTTCTGATGCCAGAATTAGATTATTGTGGGTTAGGCCCTAGACAGTATGGGGGAAATGATTTAAAAGGAGAAAACCTGAGGAAAATCCAAAAAACAACAAAAAACCCAAAGCAGAATTTTGAATTGTTTTCTCAGAGTTAATAATGAGAAGGTTCAAGCAGGTCTTACCTGAGTTATATATTACATTGGTATTACAGAAATCTGAGGGACTGGGGATTATGACACTGATGTAGGTCAGTAGGGAATGTAGTAGTGATGCTACCAGACATTCTCTTCATAATCTGAGTACACGAATACACGTTGAGATGGACTAGCAGGTCGTGTCAGGTGGCCTACAAGGTCCTCTCAGATATCAAGATTCTGTGGTGTTTATGGTGCAATATGTCACTTCTAAACTCTCTGTAGTTTTAATTTAATAAGCTAGGTTTTATGACATTTTTGTGAAAATATAAATTATAAAAGAATACAAAAGAAATGTAACCTCACTCGAGGACAGATAATATAGAATCTGAATATAATGAGGGTTGCCATGTTCCAGTGATTCAAAAACATACTTGTTGGATTGGAAACATCTATGGAACATTAATGAAACAAACCTCAAAAACTCATTTTTGTGTGTTCTGTTCAATGGATAGGATGATTGGCTATGTTTTTCAGAAATGTCTTGATATAACAATAATGAAGCACCTAACATTAAGGTCAGAATTTTTTTTTCTGAGTCCTACTTGGGTAAAGTCTTCCTTGTGAGGCAGAATTCTCATGACCAGGAAGAAGACATGATGTTCGAGGACCCAGTCACCAGAGTTGTGTGCCCTGGAAAGACATATTAGACCTCTCTAAGCCTCATTTTTTAAAAAACAAATCTATCTTTGCATTTGGTGAATCACTACTTGACTTCCTAGGATATTTTATAGTGTTGTTTTGTGTTTGTTTGTTTTTTAATGGTTCTACATACATCACCTTCACGGAATCTTTCCAGCCAAAGTGTTTCAGGTCCCAGGTGCAGATTACAGAGGCAGTCAGTTCTCTCTTACCTGGCACAGTTGGGGCCTAGACATTGGGATGTTACGTATAATTTTGTAATGATATAATTGTAGCTTTCTTTTGTAAGTCATTGGGCATTTTAAGTGTGTGTTAATGATTTTCAGACACTATGAATGGGCTTGCCTTAGGGTGGAAGAGAGGTAAGAAGTCATCCACTGCCAGACCTCTGCTAGCACTCACTTGTCCTTCACGTGACCCCTTCCCAGCAGTTGGCCACACTGCCAGTTATTTTAATGTCAAAGTGTGAAGGAGCTAATTTGTAGAAATTGCTATTAATAGACTATCAGTTAAATCAGTCTTTACTACAATTATGTTTCTGATTATAGATCTTTGATTAAATTCCTTGGTTGTTTAAGGCATATTTTAATAAAGATTGCTTGGAAAAATGTTTCAGTACCTTATGATTTTTCATTCCAGTAAAAAACTAAAATAGAAAACTTACCACGTTTTATACTTAGTACAATGGTGAAGTAATATATTAGCCCAATTCATTTTTTCAGCATGACAGCCCTGCTTTTTGTTTGCTCTCCTCCAAGTCTGTGTGCTCCTCAGTCTATACAATCTCCATAGTTCCAAGATTTGTAGTTCCATTTTTCCAGGGTCTCACACGAAAATCCCTGAAGTCAGTCCTTATTAGTTTCTTTTTCTTTCATCTATCCTTAGCAGATTCTGTGACCTCTGCTGTCAGAACACCATCCAGTTCTGACTTAACCACCTCCACTCTGCCCCTCTGGTCCCAGCCACTGTCCCCATTCTGCAGAACTACTGTACAACTCTTCTGTCTGAGCTCCTGCTTCCACTCTTGCCTCCACCTGGGGTCTGCATACTGTCTTTGCCCAGCCCAGCGATGCTCCTGCAACAACTTAGAACATGTCGCTTCTCTGCTCCGAACTCTCCAGTGGCATCTTATCTCATTTAGATAAAATCAGAGTCCTCCCAGGGACCTCTAGATACTGACCCCCAGACTTTTCCCCAGACACCTCTCCAGTCGTATGCTTTACTCTCCTTTGGCTCATCACATTCCGGCCCCGTGCACTCCTGTTTCCTGTAACATGCCAGGCTTTCTCCTGCCTCCCTAGGTATCCACCTGCTTACTTACCCTCTTCACCTAAAGAATTTTGCTTCTACATCACCTTCTCCATGAGGGCTCTGACTTCCCTTAATATTAAAACTGCCGCTCCCAATCTGGCACTCTCCCAGTCCATTTTCATGTTTGACTGTTTTCCATAGTATTTTTTTCATACCATCTGACACACTATGCTACTTATTTATGTTTATTGTTTGTCCAACTAAAATGTAATCTGAGGATGGGGCTGATTATTTGTTCACTGCTGAGTCTCCAGTAGCTACCGTAGTGCCTACTACAGACTCAAAAAACATTTGTTCAGAGAGTTAATTGAATGCAGAATTTGTCTTTTTTATAAGGTAATAGTTATGCAAAATATATCCTAAAGATCATCTCATTTATTTGGAACTCCATTTCCCATTTGTTTTCTCTTAAACAGATTTTAAACTTTTGCTCATGTTCCAATTAGGAGTTATTATAATAGTAATTGGTGAATTCTGACAGTTGGAGTGAATAGACAAATTAGCAACAAAATGATAATTTCTTGATCAAGCCCCTACTAGTGTATTTGTTGCAATCACATCCCTGCCCCTCTCTACCCACCAATGCCAGCAGGACGCCAGGATGTCTGAAAAGCTCACATTACTGTCTACTGCTGCTTTTGCTGCCTGGCTCTGCCTCCTGCTGGGGTCAGCTGATTTCCTATCCACCATTTCCTGTGGTTCTTTCACTTGTTTCTAGTACTTTTTTACAGTAAATATTTTGGGATTTATTTCCTTACACACATACCTACCTAGGCTAAGACTCAGGCTCCTGAGTGGGCTCAGTCGGTTAAGCATCTGACTCTTGGTTTTGGTTCAGGTCATGATCTTATGGTTCATGAAATGGAGGCCGGTGTCGGGCTCTGCGCAGATAGTCTAAAGCCTGCTTGGGATTCTCTCTCTTCCCCTCCCCAGCTCACGCGTGCTTGCTCGCTCTCGGAAATAAACATTTTAAATTTTTTTGTTAAAAAAATAAACAAGACTAAGTCTAAATTATTCTAAGATTTTTTGTCAAAAGTATAACTCATTGAATAATCCATACTTTATCTCAGTGTTTTGAGTTGTCACCCTTATCTATGTAGACGTATCTGTACATGTTTGTACACACACAGGTATGTACATTATGTTCCTGGACATTCTGTTTTGTTCTTCTGAGTGGGTCTTATCCCTGCACCACAGTATGCATTATATATGGCTTTTCTAAAAATCTGATCACATACCACCCCTAATTTAAAGCCCCTAAATTGTCCATTTTCTTTGGGATAAGTTTGAATAAAGTTCCGATTATGAGGCAATTTTTATCCTTTTAAAAATTGTGTTGGCTAGTTTTACCCATTTATTTTTTCCAATAAGCTCAAGAATGGGATTGTGATTGGCATTGGAATAAATTTCTAGGTTGACTTGGCTGGAATTGGCATCTTTGCAGCTGTTTTATTCTATTCAGTGCCAGGCAGTGTTACTCATCGGTTCTACGTTCTCCTGGGTCTCTGAGTGAACCCCGTGGCTGTCTTCCCCCTTCACGAGAGATGCTGCTCTGCCCCCTGGCTCTTCTGCCTCAGGCAAGGCCACTCATATTCCAGTCACCTCCTTACATAGTCTGACGTGTCGAATCTCGCAGAAGCCAGCGTTGCCCCCACTTCTCCAGGGCAGCCGCGCACCTCCTGTGCCACTTTCTTCCTCCTGGGACAGCTCCCCTTCTGACTCAGCCTGTTTTCTCAAGTGCTCGCACTCTCTGGATTCCTCACTGTGATACATCTTTGAAAGGTTTTTATCATTAGGAATCAAACATCTGGTTAAACTTAACAGTATTGCTACCTGAAGATGTTACACTCAAGATTGGCCTATTGCTTATTGTTTTTTACTTATTAATGGGAGAAAATATACCTTTTTTAAAAGTCAGTGCTTCTCAAACTTTAATGTGAACAGAAATCATCTGGGGATCTTGCAAAAATACAGATTCTGACTTCGTAGGCAGTAAGTCTGGGATGAGGCCCAAAATTCTGCATTTCTAACAAGCTCCCAGGGGATGCCAGTGCATCTGATCCTGGACCCTCCTTTGAGTAACAGGATTTTAGGAAATGTGGTCCATGACCACTGGCTTGCCTATGGCGTCCATTTCTGTAAACTGAGGGCATAGAATTACAGAATCCAATCTCAGTCTAGAAGGGACTGAATTATCTAGACTAATCACCAATAATACCTGATTGTGTTTATAATATCCAGTGTTCATCAGTTTTGAAGCATAAATGGAATCATACGTACTGTTCAACTTCTTTTTCTCATTTGATGATATGTCTTATGGAGAATCAACAAACTTTAATACAGTTCTTTGTAACACATAGTATCCCATTTGTGTGTCTGCAGCATAATTTGATTTACACACTCCTTTGGTGGAAATTTAGATTTTTTTCAAGGTTTTTTTTTTTTTAACATTACAAGCAATGGTATATTGCAGTACATATATCTTTTTGCACATGTGCAGACATTCATTGGTTAGATTCTAGATGTGGGATTTACAGGACTATGTATGTTAAAAGATTTTAGCAGTGTGTAATTCTATCAGTAACAATAGGAGAGTGCCCATTTTTTAACATCTTCACCAATACAGCATATTACCAATTTTGTATTCTTTGAAGCTTCTTTTCATATCAGTTGCCTTGTTGTTGATCTGTTGTGCTGTTTGTTTTTTTCTTACTAACTTCTAAGAGCTCTTTATGTGTTCTAGAAATGAATCTTTGGTTAGATGTGTTGTAGCTCTTTCCTCCCAGTTGTGTTCTGCTTCCTAGTTTTGACTCAGTTTTTTGATCTCTAAAATTTGAGTAACAATACTTGTCTTGAAATGTTTTAGTAAGAATGGAATACTATATAAACAAAGCAGACTGCCTGACATAACAAACGTTAGTAAGTTTATGAATAGCTTATGTGTCTTACATATGATTGTAATTCTCTCTCGTACTTCCTCTCATCCCTGAGAGCTTACTATTACTAGCTGTCCATTCAGCCTCAGCTTTCCTCATGAACTCTTGTTCTTCCTGCTCACCTTTTCTTGGGTAGGTTGAGTACTAAGTCTCAGTAGAGCACGTCTTTCCCAGATGATCCTGGTTGGTTTTAGGTCTCCTAGCCACCCCCTGCCAGGACGTACCTACAGTCACGGTGCCACATTTGTCTTACTTTGCTTTATTTGCATTATTAAGCACTTTTAGGAAAAGCAAGCATCCTTCATCACTGGTACCAACAGAGATTCACAGGAAAAAATAATCACTCTAGTGAAATATCCTCTTTTTACCTGAACCCTTCCCTTAAATGCTATCTGGGACTTGGCACAGTTGAGGACTTGCAAGGTCTGATAGACCAGAGCATGGGGACTTCAGAGAGAAAAGGGAAAGCTGCCAGGGCGTGTCCTACGGCACGTTAATGAACCCTGGACACAAAGTCAATGACTCACTTCTGGAAAAAACTGCTAGTCTTTTGAGGAAATGGGAAACATCTAAAATCGTATTTAAAAGGCTACCAATACATTTGTTTTATTCATTGCTTACTTTAACATTCTTTCAAAGTGTAGCTTTTAAAAGCAGCTTGCTTTGGGATGTTAGATTTATCCAGGTTAATTTATACCTCAAATATTTTTTATGCATTTTCCCCATTTTGAAGAGACATGCAATGTTGAATTCATATATACATAATTTTAAAGTATATAACCACAATTAAAATAATGTTTATGTTTAATAAATATTTAACACAATATTGAAAACATCAAGATTTGGCAATGATTTCTCTTTAAATATGAATGGTTAAACTGTTAGAAGTTAGCAGGTTTACAAATGAATCACTCAGTAGTTTTAAGATGCGTTCATTCATTGATTGACTCGCAAACCCTTCTGTGAGAAGCTGCTGTGTGCCACTCAAGGAGCTTACAATCTCATGCTGTTATAATAGATGTGGAGACTAAAACCTAACCTGAGCAATATGAAGAACCTAACCTCTAACCTCATACATAAAATGGACCTCTCACAGGTTGGGGCAAGCCTTATGCCCCTTTCAGAGTTTCTGAGGTCCTCCAACAGTGTTCCTTTCATGGGCAGTGGAAAGGAGAGCTATGTGAGATTAATCACAGGAAGGGGAGGAACAAAGAGAATACCCCTTCTGGACTGAAGAGGTGACAGTTTTCCCAGGAACCATTATTTGAAGAGGAGATGGAAAGGGTAGCCACCATTTTGGTAAATATTTGCAGAGTATTAACAAAACTGATATTTAGATATTAAACTTGTTTCAAGCTACAGCCACTAAGTTATTAAAATTTTTTTTCCAAAAACAACTACCATATCTTGGAAAGTGTTTAAACTAATCATGTTGGCTCATGTTTGACGTTAAAATAGTTTAAATAATCAGTTTTAAATATGTATCCAGTTGTGGATGCCTCTTATCTGATGAGTTCATCTCCTCCGCAGTTTCGGTGTCTGAACTGCTCAGCTTCGCAAGTCTGCTCTCAGGATGGCCCTTTGTATCAGGTAAGAGGCACTCACGACTGTACATATGACCCTGACGAAGCCCGCCAAGATGGTGATCGCTCGCATCCCAAACTCAAGTTTCTAAGACATGTCATTTTGCAAAACTAACATGCATTTGAGCTACAAAATATCATTTTTCAATTTACGTCCCCAGAGTTTCCCATTATTTTAGTTATCTCGCATTATCTATTTAATTTCACAGAATTAAAAAATGAAATTATAAATGTTAAGGACATTATTTAGGAGTCAGACATTTTTAATAATTACTAGTTTCAGCCCTTGAGAAACCTCTGCTCCATATTGGATCTCTGCTCCATAGTTAGTTAACCCTTCTTTGTGTAAGGGTTTTTTTTGTTTTGTTTTCTGTGTTTTAATGAGTCCCCTACAAGTGAAAGATGAAATGGCTGGTCAAGTGAGGGTCAGTCGCAGCGACAGCCACATGTAACTAACTGTGAGCTCGCTCAGGTTACTTCTACAGAAATGATAGTGGACTGATTTTAAATGCATTGGGGAAGACTCTCCTCAGACCCACACCCCAGTTATCTAATAGAAGTGCACCTTGTATTGGGGTAGTGAGGGGTAGCGATGCTTCTCCCTTTCACCGTAACTCCTATGTGCGTGGTCTTTTGCTTTCAGTCTGGGCACTGATGTCTGCTTCCTTAGAAATAAAGATGTTCTTAAACGCTGATCTAAAGTATCAGAGAACAACTGAAATAAGATCAAATTTTTAAAAATCCTCAAAATTCCCTTTTCTTCCTTCAGCACTTCATTAGGGATTATACAGTCCTGTCACAGAGTTGAACTTGTAATTAACATAATACACCTTTAGCCAAAATTCAGCTACAAGTTTTCAAGGGAAAAATTATCACTCTTTTACTTCAAGAAAATATTACGTATATAGTTTTATACTACTTAATTTTTAAATTCCATGAAATGGACAGTTTTCTAGGAAAGTACCAGTGGACCAAAATTCACCCACGAAGAAAGAAAATTTAAATCACTAAGTCATGAAAGAAAATAATTACTAGAGAATTCCTTCCTTAAAGTATACCTAAATAGCTTTATGGTCACCCTCTCTCCAATTTTCAAGCAATAGATCATTCCCATTATAAGCTGTTTTAAATTATTAAAAGATGTAATTCTTCCAAATTAATTTTATAAAAGTAACATAATCATGATACCAAAAACTGAGAACCCCCAACTAGAAAGCCAGTATCAATTTCATTTTGAATACAAATACAAAGGTGATAAATAATATACCAAAAGAATAATAAAAAAACACTAAATAGCATTTTTTATCAGAAATGTAAGAACGGCTTGATACTGAGGGAAGGGAAGTAATATATGTTGCATAATAGAAACTTATTTTATATATACGCACACACAAAGTCAAATCAAAACCATCAGTAGATACTGAAAAGGCATTTGATAAAATTCATTAAGTCCCAGTTTTTTCTACCAGCTTATTTTAAAATTTGTCAAAAAACAAAAAGTTGAAATAATACAAAAGAATATCCTTTACTTTTGCTTAGATTTTATCAGCTAACATTTTGCTACATTTTATGCTCCCTCTTTCCTTCTCTTCCCTTCTCCTTATCTTATTAATGTCTTTATAATTCTGTCTATTGTTTCTTTGTGGAACTATTTGAAAGTAAATTCCAAGTATCATGACAGTTGACCACTGAATATTGCAGCATTTGTTTCCTAAGATCAGAGACTTCCTTATAAATAACAAAAATACCACTTCACACACAAGAAATTTAAATAGTATATTCAATATTATAGAGGTGTCATTTCTTCCCATAATTAGGTTATCAAGTTTGATATAGTTCCAAACACACTTTTACCAGATTCTTGTTTAACTTAACAGAAGCACCCATTCTGAACTCCCATCAGGAAGTACAAGCCAGCGCTTCTGGTCAGTCACATTTTTCAGTGGGTAACAGGGGGCATGTGCACAGCCACATACCAAAATGCAGGTGTAAGATGAGGTAATTAATATAGGGCACTGGCTTAAACACAGACATATGAATCAAAAGAATAGCTCAGGAACAGACTCTAGTGTGTATAAATCTATAGAGTATTTCAGGTTAGCGGAGGAAGAAAGATTTATTCAGCAAATACCTACTGAACACTTAACTATGCACTGGGTACTCTTGTAGGCCCTGGGGACACAGAGGTAAAAATGAACAACTTCCTCATAGAGCTTACACTCTAATGCTGATAAGAGATGAAAAATAAGTCAGTCAAATTTGTAGTGTTAGAAGAAAAACTAAGAGAAGTAGAATATTTTAGATAAGATAGCCAAAGGAAGACTTCTTTCAGGTGGAGATTCTTGATCAAAAGGAAGTGAGAGAAATAGCTGTGTGTGTACCTGGTATCCGGTGCTTCAGGCTAAGGGAACACAGTGGAAAGATCCAGAGGAATGGTTATATCTGATTGGTTGAGGGTTGCAAGGAGGCCAGCAGGGCTGGACCAGAGACCATGTTTGGCAGTTGGCAGGGCTAATCAGTAAACTCTGCAATAAATTTTACTGAGACTTGGTGGTGGTGATGGAGATTCAGTTCATACCTCACATTATAGGAGATTCTTGTGGCTTTAAGTGCTAACTATTAAAATAGATACCATCAAAGATCAAGAAGAAACATAGTTGAATATTCTCAGAGTGGGGATGGCCTTTTTCACTGTTCACCTAAAAGGAAAAAGAGGACAAAGCAAGCTGACTGTTAATATTGGAAAGTACATGGCAGAAATACCTTAACTAAGGAAATATTTGCAGTATGTGACAGAAAAGTTTAACAGCCTTAACACATGAAAAATTCATGCATATCTGTAAGACAGTTCAACCTGTCATAGAAAAATGAACAAAAGACCTCCGTAGGAAAGTCACCAAAGAAGGAAACAGAACTGGCTAATCATTCAAAAATGCTTAACTTTTTTAGAAGAAATAAATACTATTTTATACTTACTAAGTTGCCATGTTAAAAGGGAAGAAAAGATAGTACTCATTGTTGAGGCCATTGAAGAATGAGCAGTCATATTACTATTGGCAATGTAAAGATAGAATAGCTTCCTTGGATTCCAGGGTGACAGTATTTATGCTGTTTGAACCAGCAATCCCACTCCAGGAACAGCCCTGATCATTGGGACAAGATTAATCCATAATCTCCAAAAATAATAATTAAACATTCAGCAAAAGGAAATTTATTGATAACTTATGATTCTTTTCTACAAAGGTATTATATTCTTCCTTTGAAAATGATCACCAAGGGGGGCACCTGGGTGGCTCAGTCTGTTAAGCGTCCCACTTCAGCTCAGGTCATGATCTCACGGTTCCTAAGTTCAAGCCCCACATCGGGCTCTGTGAGGACAGCTCTGAGCCTGGAGCCTGCTCCAGATTCTGTGTATCCCTCTCTCTCCGCCTCTTCCTCTACATGCCCTCTGTCTCTCTTTTTCTCAAAAATAAACAAATGTTGAAAAGCTATTTTTTAAAAAAAAGATATTAAATAGTATCAAAATAAGTTTCAGAATTTTTAAGTGGAAGTTAAAATTTTACATGGACAAAATTATTTACCAAATACGTGTAGCATGATTACAGTCTGGAAAAAAAATATATGTACATAGGCCAGAAAAATCTACACTAAAATAGCTATGGTTGTTACCTTTGGATGGTGGTATATAAATGATTTTCCTTTTTTCTTGGTGCTTTTCTATATTTTCCAAGTCTACCATGAAACCGCATTACTTTTATGATAAAGATTTTTTACGAAAAGCAGAGTATCAATCAAGGTCAATGTGATTTATCATTTCCCAAAGTTATCCCATTTGAAATCTATACTGTGGAAGTATCTTTTATTTTAGTACATGATGAGACTGAAGACTAGCAACTCTACAAGTAAGTCCCTTCAGGGCAGTCACTGAACCCTGAAGGGTGATGCTCCCCTTTTCCTGAGAGTTAGCACAGCGCCGTTTTACTTTGCAAACTGAAATACAGATAGAACTTAGAATAGATCTTAGCAGTTCCCAGCATTGTAGAACACATAAGGTGACACCTCAGCTGTCATCGTAGAACAGACACAAATGGTTACTTGGAGAAAAGCAAACCGTTTTCAACCAAAACCGGAAAATCCTGACCACTGACAAGCCATTTTACTTCCCTCTCTGCCTTCATCCCTGTAGAACTGCTGATGGAATCTTCTAGATTTTAGGCATTCTAGAATGAGTGACTTTATCATTTGCAGAAAGCATGTAGCCGCAACAGAGTCTGGGATGGAGAACAAAACCAGGAAGGCTGTTGTGGCCGAGGGCAAGCGCTGGCTGGGCCAGGACAACGGGAAGGAGACCCTACCCTACTCCGGGGTCGGGGGTCTGGGTAGCAGTCCCCACAGCTGGCTCAGTTTCACAAAACCCAGGCGTTTTTTAAAATGCAGATTCCTCTGCCTCATTCCCGGATATTCTCATTCAGAAGGAATAGAGTTTAAATAAAAACAAACAAAATTTAAACCAAACAGATATAGGCCATGGAAATCTTGAGACACTGTGACTTTTACTCCAGCTCTCAGAACTGGCGGTGGCACTCCTTACGTCCTTGGCTGGGGAGAGCAAGCCCTGGAGATTTCCATTCCCATCCTCCAGTCCCATCCTGAGCTGAGTGGTTCAAGACCAACAAGGAATCTTCCTATAACCTACTTGTGATAAGTGCAGTAATGGTCATTTTAGGATTCTAAAAAACCTCAGCCCATCCCTTTTGCCTGTACGAAAGAGGACACAATTTCCTGGCCTGGACTTTTGTGTTCACCTACACTGAGATGAAGAGGACCCATCAATGATAATCTGAACACTTTCTTGGTTTCATAAAAGGAGCTTCTCAATGAAATTTCCTTTAAAAAGGGGGAATCTCCAGCTTTCAGGAAAGGAAAACCGTTGGTTCTCCAAACCAGACTTTGTGACATTAGGTTCTATATAAGGGAAAATAGCAGGTGAAAACAGGTACTAGAGTGGCCATGTGACAGATCATATGCCCTTTATATAAGTGCAGGAAGCAGTTTCCTCTCTAGTATGTTAGGATGTGGGATACCTTTTATGTAGTCACAGCAATGCACGGCAGTCCATACCTTTCAATTATAGGAGTCCACTCAGAATAAGTAATAGTATCAACTGACTGTTGAAAGGAAGTAGCAACCTAAATGTTCCATGTAACAGTTAGCTATGTGTGTCTCAGTTTTAAAAGACTATTAAAGTTTCAGTGTTAAAAAAAAATCGTGTCAAACCTATTAAAAAATGTGATTTGTGAAAACGACCCCAGTTTCATAGCAAGAGGTCTCTGTTAATTTGTGACTCAGTGGGCTCTCAGAGACAGCAGCTTGGATGGAATCCAGCCCCACGAGGCAGATGACTGAACACCTTTAAGCAGGGAGCAGAGCACTCGGTCCTCCCTGAGTATTACTTCTGTATGACCCACATACCCAGGCACTGTGACCTCATGAGCCTTTGAACTTGACCTTTGTTACATATTAGAGAAAACTTGCCTGATTCTAGAAAAATAATGGCAGTTTAAAACTAAAGCATCTTAATGGTAACTAGTCCTTAATTGTCATAATCACTAGTACCAGGAAATATTGTAAATTACACGTCTGCATTCTTAAAGGCTTTTGTATATAATCTATATTGTTTTCATTTTTCATATAAACACAGTCTTATTCATCATCATGTTTTTATTTTATAGTCCTACCCCATGGTATTGCAGTATCGACCAAGAATTGATTTCGGTTAGACCAAGGGGCCTAGATCCCACGGAGATGACTCCTGCACTCTTTGTTTACTCATCAGCAGATCGCACAGGGAACGGTGTGTGGACGAGAGGGACACAACCAGACTTTCAGCATGCAAATAAGGCCACTGTCTGTCTCTAAATTGTTAGTTGCATTTATGTTGTTTCTATTAAGAGTGAACCAAGTGCCATTCTGCTCCTGACCCCCCGCATACGGCATTTGTGCTGCCTCCCAGCGTGGACATCAGCCACGGTTGCTGTCAGCTAAGTGTGCAGCTGCGAGTCAGCCTCCCGAATACTTTGCTTGCCGGTTCCCAGACTGTTCTGATGTTTGATTACACTAGTAATAGGACTCAATCTGTGTGGTGTTGCAGTTTTCACGTACTTAATATTTTATTAACTTTTGTTTAAATAGAGTACTGTACAAGAAATAATTATTATACCTTGAAGTTATTTTGTATGGAAAAGTATTTAGAAGAGTGGTTTTTGAGCCACGGTCCTATTCTAAGCTTTTTCTGTGTGAAATAGTTCACTCTTGAATGTGCAAGACTTTGGGGGAAGAATTCCACTTATTCTCATCATCAGAGCACATTGTAATTGTAGACATTTTAAGTCCTCCAGCTGTGGGGTCTACCACTGCACAGGGAGGCACGGTAGCCCTCCAGATTGAAAACGTGTGTGACCTGGTGGACAGCCACAGTCCGATCCAGAACCATTGGAAATACTGCAGCTGGTCACACTGACTTCTGACAAAATTACTGCATCAGCAAGGTCAGTCTTTCGTGATGCCTTATGACGAGCAGGTGCTGCTTCGTGAACCATCACTGTGTAGCCCGTTCTACGTGTGCGTCCTTCTGTCGTGGCTCTCATTTAATGAGTGTAACGTCTCTTTTTAAGTTGGCCTTAGGTGTGTGTCATTGTGGCATGCAGAGGGTTATGATGATTTTAAATATTAGGATTTTTAGGGCAGATAATATTAGCTATTTTATGGATTTTAGAAGTCTCAAGCAATTATAAATTAAAACTGTTACCCATCGCATCTCCAAACCACATGCGTCTAATAGAGTAACTGCAGTGTAGTAGGTGAACACGCTAACCAAGATTAATGATTTGAGACGATTCCATTTTAAAGCAGGGGTAAATGGGATTCTTGTTTTGTACATAAATTCATTAAGGTCAGAGCTGGGATTCTGCAGTTCGGTTAAGTCTTCCATTCATTCTGAGATTAGTCTGCAAGTCAGAGAAAGTCTCATTACCTTAAGTTATATGAAGAACTTTGTTTTAAAAACTTACAATTGTTTTCAAAAAAAAATTTCTTTCGAAGTTTTATTAATTGCCTCAAAATAAGCTAACCTCTGAAACTTAGGAAGAGTCTTCAAAGTTGGGAAACCTGTTTGAGAGATCTGACATGAGCACAATCCGTGTGTTACACACGTGGTTTTATACTGTATACATTGTAGACACGCTACAGTTTCCAATAAGATGTATCACAGACCAATGCCTTCTGAATCTCAAAATGCTTTTTAGGAATGAAACATCGTACAAATCTAAAAACACAAAATACAGCTAAATCTTGATGCATTTCACCATATGAAAAGCTGAAACTTCCTAATTATGTTTTCCATATGTCCTTGTTTCAAGTCAGAAAGTCTCTATTAAAGATTTCTGTTGTTTTTGTTTGGACTTTTGTGAAAAAGGTTACAGCAGTGCTTTCTTAATTTCATTTTGTTAGACTGTGTCTGTACCTGGAAGGACTCAGAAGCAGAGCTTTTTAAAAGGCAGATTTTTGTTAACTCTTTAAAAATGGTTAGAACAGACCATTGCACTCAACCAAAACCAGAATCTGCTCTCTACCTACAGAAATAATTTTACTGTGCTGTGAAATCCAATTCCCTGCCATCCCGGAGAAATTTTAATATTATAAATTTGTCACATCTAGGTCAGTGATTCAAGTAGTGTTTTACATATGGAAGTTAAGTCAAAATGAATTGAGAGTGCATTTTAAAATAAAACCGCAAAGGAGACCTGCGTGTTTTTGAGTCCCCAGCCAAAGCGTAGAGCCTTCAGTGAGTTTTATATATACATGAGCTCTCTAAATGGGGCCTGTTGCTGCCTCATCACATGTCATTTTACTGTTTTCCAAGGAAATATATAGGAATTATGGATTTGGGAATAATTTTATGTAAAATTCCTTTATTCATCGTTCACATGTTAACACCTTAATGGAAATGCAGTGGAATATGTGCCAAAACATGTGAAAGGAAACCGTACGTGAAGAAGGGATCAGCTAGCATTTAGGGAAGTGTACCGTTTAGCACGGTCCTGAGTGATCGGCGTCACTATTCAGAACCACGGACTTCTTCAGCCGACCTCCTGTGGTATATTCAACGATCATTTCCTAAGTATGGGACTACTTTCATGTCTAAGCAATACACTAATTACTCCCTAGGTCAGCTTGTGGAATTTGCAAGAAACCAGATGCAGGAAAAATATAAAGGCGACTTTTGCAGTTAGTTTTATCAACTTAGGGTGCTAATAAAGCTCTTTATATAAATAAGCTGTAGGAATCACCCTCTGAATCTGCAAAATTGGAGAATAAAACGAAATTAAATTTGTTTAAACCTGTTGTTGCTTATGCAAGAAACTGAAAGAACTTTACCTTCCATAAAGGTAACTGGTTTTCTTTGCCTTAGATATCAAAGATGGAAGAGGGTAAGGAAGCTTCGATATAAAGAAGGACTGTGGTCCATTAGTACCACTATCATTGAAGTAATCACATCAGTTAATAGAAAAATCAGAATATGGCCTTTTCTCTAGATGAGCAGAATACTTTTAAGAGGTATAAAAAATAAACTAAAAGTTTCACTGATGAGGTAAGATAAGGTCATTCAGTCTGGGGTGTGGGCACTCTGGGTAAAGTCTTTTAACCGCTTTTAGAAAAATGGAACATTTCTTTATTCACTGAACATCTGTCCCATACTAATAGGCGACATTTTATCAATGTAATGAGTTTGCTCAGCTGTATTTGTACACTAAAATGAAATCTAAATTTAAGTGATTCTTGACGAGGGAAAAGTGTGTTATATAATATTGTCAACTCTTTAGCTTTAGTGAAATATTTAAGAGAAAGTGCCTCGTTGCTAAAGTGCATTTCTTTTAGATTCGCTGTCTAAGTTTTGAGCTACCTGTTCCTGCCTCTTATGAATGGCTTTATATCCAAATAGGCACTCATAAGTTAATCGCTTTTTCAAAGATTTTCATAAGAAGTAGAGATCACCAAAGACATTCTACTGTTAATTAACAATCATGCTAGAGAGACCATTTTAACATTTGGAGGTTGGAATTTTTTTAGGTCGCAATTTCAGTTTATATAGTTAGGCAATAACCTTAAGTAACTGCTAAAATATCACCAAAGAAAGGCTTTAAACTGATTTTTGTGGTGAGATCAATCAAATGTAGGTTTTTCTTGGAATAATCAGAGCACACTCCCTCTCCAACAATGTCCCTTGTTTTTCCAGCACCATCTGGCAGGGCTTAGGAAACCCTCAAAGGTGAGAAAGAGATAAACACCACAGTTAGCTCCCCACACATGCAAGGGGAGGAATGCATCCTTTGAAGAGAATATTGAAATTGAGATTTTAAGTTCTAATTTGAGAAGCTCTCTAATTCATTTATGGAGGCCATATAAACTAAACTTAGGCTTTATTAAGTTCCGGGGTTCATAGTAATAGGAGAAATTTCATGACAGACTTTGGTAAAAGTGCTGACATGCTTACTTATATAGAACATAGTACATTCTATTGGACTTAACTAAGTAAATGCTTTTTTTGGTATTCAAAAGGAAAGTTTTCATAAAGGCCAATTTTTTTTTCTTTAAAAAGTTAACTCTTTGTCTTGTTTCTCAGTGATTATTGTGATTAGAATTTAGCCATACAGTCAAATTTGGCAAAACGGGTCCCAGATCAAGAGCATATACATCAGGTTAAGCACTGCCCGTCCACCGTTCTCCCTGGGAGCTTAGGCTTTGGCCACCATGAAGGTCAAACTCACGTCATGCAGCCTGATGGGCCACTGGGTCAACCTCCTTGGATCCACTCTGCTACATATTCTGGTTTATCATAAGGAATCTTCCCTCAGGCTAAGCTTTATACCAGTAAGAGGTTGGTTGTAGGAATTGCAAAAATGAATCCCTTTGCCATAACTTTAATCTTTTGGATTAGAAGAAAACCGTGAAAATGTTCTCATACTATACAACATAGATCCTTACAGTAAGGAATGTAACATGCCTGCCAGATCTGATCTATGGAAAAAAAAAATAAAAAAATAATATATATAGTAGAGACTCAGAAACCCTTTGAAAGCACAAAAACACCATCCAGTTCTGGATTTACTTTACACCTAGTTCTGTAGTATTTTGATGGAAAAACATCAGAGTAAAAGGTCATTAAAATGTACTTCTACATTACAAGGTTTTTATGGTTTTCTTTTCCCTAAAACAGAGTTATTTTCCCAGTAATTTAAAATGATTCTCTTCCCAGGGTCATGTAACCTTCACAAAAAGTATATTTACTCAGTCTCCTTACACTGTCTTTGCAAATAGAACTAAAATGCTTCAGCACTTCCTTTTCAGAAAGTTATGAAATTAAACTTTAATTTATTTTAAATGCTCAAATATGTATACTCATTATGCCCCTTTTTCTAGGATTCAGTACTGAGACATTGTTCAGAAATGCCTTTTAACTGTCTACAAATATAGAATCAAGTGAAAGAGATCTGTGAAAATACCGAGTCTAGTTTTCTCCCATCTTTCAGAGCTTCATGGAATAAGAAACTAATCTAGTACAAACGAAGAGTAAATATTTCTGGGCACATTGTACAGTCATCAGATCGTCTACCCCTAGCCTGCACCTCAGTCCACTGGGGCAGAAGTTCCACACATCAGAAATGTAATGGGATCAGCCTCACATTTGGGGGGGTTGGTTTTCTTTTGCTGTATTTTTTAGAATGGGGATGGGGGCCTAAGTGTCCTTACGAAGCTGCGGCCCACGACGAGAGCTCGGGGGAGAGCGCCAGCCCTCCGCTGCCTTCCTGCACTTGGCGGCAACAGCACGCACCCGCTTGTGATAGTGCAGCCCTCCCGTCAGGCAGGGCCGTCACAGGATATACTGTACAGTTCTGTTGCTAATTTTCCTTTGAAATATAAAATATTTTAAGCTTTTTTTGTCAAAAGTGGTAACATCTTAATACAAATAAAAACCTTTTTGTGGTTGTAAGATTTAGCTTATGAATCATTCAAATTGAAGTGAAAGATTACCAGGTCATTGTTAATGACTTCGTCTATTAAGAATATATGTATTTTTGTAAAGGAAAAGCACTTGTAGATATTTAATCAGTACAAGATATATGTCTGTTTTGCAGAAATAAAATGCTGCTTAGAGATTCTCTTTAAATATTTTTTATTTTTGTGCTCAAATGTATTTTCTGTTGATCTATGGGATGTTCTGTATAAAGCTGTATGGTTGTACTGTTGGGCTAGATTCTTTTGTTTTTTAAAATCTGGACTTAGCCAAGTATATTTGACCATGTTAAAAATAGTATCTTTGTTATTAAAATTTTGATTGCATAATTTATTGTTGCGTATCATCCTTAATATTAGTGGTTGTAGATTGCAGCTTCCATTAGTGTAGAAAATTTTATTAAAGTTTTTGAATATCTGAGATCATAAATATTCTCTAAAGATTCTCGAACTGCTTAGTTTTAAGATGGTAGGCTGCGCCTCAAGTAATACTTGAGGTCTGCGCGCGCGCACACACACACACACTTTAGAACAATCTCTTATTTTGTTAGCTTAATCAAATCTAAACAACCCTTTGAAAGAAACTGAGTGTCAAAGAAAGGCCCAGGTGACTTAAAAGACTGATGTCTGCAGCCAGTTAGACTATAGTTTTGTTTTATTAATACATCTGTGTGTTCTTGCCCTAGGAATTCTAGTTAGGCTCACGTCAGCCATTCACGTCGGGAAGGTGCAGCGATCTCTCTTTCCCGTCGTCACTGTGGTGCCTGAGCTTGGTCTCGTGTTAGTGACACCATGGTGCTGGCTGGCACCCCAGGGCACTCACAGGGGAGGGAGCATCCTCTGAGCAAAGCTGGACTCCTCCCTGCATTAGCTTCACCCCCTTCAAGGCCATTGCAGAATGGGAGCAAACATGGAGACTGTGCATGGGAAGGGCTCAGAAAGGTAGCACACATTACTTTGGTCACGTGTCATTGGCCAGGACTCACTCCCATGGCCTCCCCTCCCTGAGATGAAGGCCTCAGGCAAGGCTGGAGGACACAGTTAGGCCAAGTCCGGAAGGGAAGAGAAAACAGGTTTGTGACCTGCTCATCAGTGTCTGCCAAAACTCCACGGGAGAAAAGGGGTCACAGTTTTCCAGCTCTTAGAAGCGTTTTGTCAGCACAGGCTCAGCTCTCATCTTCCCACTAGTTTAGAAAGGTGTGGAGGAGTCCAGTGCTCCCACGAGGCCTGAGAAGCTGAGGGCCAGTCCTGCTTGCTATGTGGCCAGGGGATTTGCAGGCAGTATTTTGCTGGAAACCAGACAGAACCCTGCAGACACCCAAACCCTGCCACAGAATTTGGGGTGCCAGGACCACCACTATAACAGCCAAGTGCAGAGTCATGTCCAAAAGAGAGAAAGAGGTGACAAGTGAGCACCACCAGCTCCTACAGAACAAAGCCCTGTTCTTCCTACAAAGCCCAGTTCCGATCCCAGCAACTCAGGCGGGCTTATCCAGACCCCTCTTCTGTAACAGCCCACCCATGGCAACGGGACTGCGACAGATGCTTGTCCTCCCATTAGATCATGAGCATCCGGAGGGATGTTGACAGCCCTCGTTGGATAGCCCACCCTCACACAACACACCCGCACTGGCACCCATCAAACCACAGTGGAAGGAGTCCAGATTCCAGAAATAGGCAATGCTGCTGACGCAGTCTCCAGGTGTCACTCCCCTTCATACATACAAGGACAGCAGTCATACCAATTGGATTAGAGCCCCACCCTCTAATTTAACTTAATAACCCCTCGAACATCCTTCTCAAAGACTGTCACATTCTAAGGTACCGGGGGACAGGGCTTCAACACAGGAATATGGGAAGACACTCTTCAGAGAGCCATGTGGTAGCCTGCAGATTGGGGTTCAAATTCAGGATCACTGTTGTATGACTTCGGGCAGTTTACTTAACCCGGTTGAGTCTCTTTTCTCGTGGTAAAGCACAACCGCCCTAACTCACCCCATAGGCTTGTGGAGGAAGCGCTGCCCTAGACGGCACTCAGAGTGACGCCAGAGGGAACAGGGACAGCACAGTCATTCTCCAGCTGCTCGTGTGCACACCCGCCTTTGTTAAATCAGTGCCCTCTCCGATTTGATGTGAGCTAAACGCAAAGAACTCAAATCTTGGGACGCCTGGGTGGCTCAGTCAGTTGAGCATCAGACTCTTGACCTTGGCTCAGGTCATGATCTCACGGTTCAGGAGTTCGAGCCCCGCATCAGGCTCTGCGAAGAAAGCATGGAGCCTGCTTGGAATTCTCTCTCCCTCTCTTTCTGCCTGTCCCCTGATCATGTTTGCCTTCTCTAAATAAATAAAAACAAAAACTCAAATCTTGCTTACCTAGAGCCATTTCAATCTCACGGTAGCTCACAAACTCATTCCCACTGACGTACTAATCCATGAAGGATCCAGCCCAGAGTCTAGCACATAATAGGCACTTTATAGATGCCTTCCTTTTCTCTCACATCCATTTAATCAGCAGAACAAACCTATTTTGGCCCAATCTTAATGGTGTGAAAGGGAGGCTAAATAACCCACAATCACCAGAATGTATTTGGGCCCCCAACCTAGGGCTTCTTGTTCAAGGGTGATTCTGCTCTCACAGGCACTGGCTCTTTGGCTGTGAGAGCTGTGATGTCTAGAGAAGGTGTGCTCGGGCCCTCTGGGCCCCTCCAGGATGGCCCACGTGGAGGGTAAACACTTGCCAGCCAGTGTGTGCCCAAGATGGCACAGCATGCCTGTCATTCCTGTGGTCAACGCACTGCGTTGAGCACCCACTGCGTACCAGGTGCTGGGCTGGGCTCGGAGTGTAGGTGCTGAGCCGAACAGATGCCACCTTTGACACTAACGGAGCTTCCAGCATGCGGAGGAGGGAGTCGTTGAACACAATAAATACACACTAAAAAGAGTGCGGAGTGTTCTTATAAGAATGCAAGGTCCAGACTTTTCTGAGAAAATGATGGTTAAGCCGAGACTTGAAAGACAGGGCAGAGCGAGCCAGGCCAAGCGCAGGGGAAGGCACGTCCCTGAGGGCAGGAGGGAGCATGGAGAGCGCCATGCAGCACGCCCCCTACCGGAAGCCGGGGCGGCCAGCGAGGAGCAACGAGGCAGAAAGCAAGGGGAGAGGATCCGGAGGAGGCGGCAGAGGCCGGTCAGTAGACGCTCCGAGTCCTACGGAGAAGCTTGTATTTTACTCCGAGGACAAGAGGACTGGATTTTAAAGAGAGAAGGGACATCTTTTTTCTATTTTAAAATTATCACTCTGGGAGCACTGCAGAGGCTAGAGCGTTAAGGGTGTAGGATTTAGGACAGAAACGGAAACAGGTTAAAGGCCTAGAGCAGTAGCGCACGTAAGACAGACGGCAGCGGCCCAGGCCAGCGTTGGCGGTACTTGAGGCGAACTGAAGTGGCCACGAAGAAATGCTGTTTTGTTTTGTTTTGTTCATTTTAGTTTTGGGGTTTTGTTTTTTGGAGTTTTTTTGAGAGAGAGAGAGAGAGCAGGGGAAGGTCAGAGAGAGAGAAGGACAGAGAGAATCCCCAGCAGACTCAGCACTCACAGCACGGAATCTGACGCGGGACTCAATCCCACGAACCAGACATCATGACCTGAGCCAAACATCAGGAGTCAGACACTTAACTGACTGAGCAGCCCAGGTGACCCAAAAAGCAGATTTCTTTACACACATCTGCGCCACCCCAGGGGGCCAGGCTCACTGTAACTCAAGTTTTCAGGTGAAGCTCTAGATGGGGGTGGGGAATTCAAAACAAGAAGATGGGGGGAAACCTGGGAACCAGAGAGTATCCACCACCCCCAAGCTCCCACCCTTCCTTAGGAAACCTGGGGTGGGCAGAGAGCAGGAACAGGGAGGGAGGGCGGTCCTGTTTGCAAGGAGACAGAGCAAGGATCCTGAGAAGCCTTCTCCACCAGCCCAGCCCAGGGCCCGCCACCAGGACGCCCACGGGACCTGCTCCCAGCCCAGCACCCAGGCTTGTCCGGTGAGACCCCTATTCAGCCTTCGAGGCCCAGCCTCCAGCACCTGCTGGGATGCTTCTCCAGGACCCATCGCCCATCCTCCCTCCAGGGGTGGTCTCACCCCAGCCTTTATAGAGCCCTGTCCCGTCACACGTTCGAGGGACACAGCCCAACGCCAGGGTCCCACTGATTAACTGCAGGAGGGTAAATTACAGCATCTCCTCTCAGAGGTGACCGAGCCCCTGATGCAAATGTGACATTCAGCTAACAGAGCTCACAAGACGTAACTGAAACCTACTTTCTTGGGTCTCTCACAGCCCCCTTCCACCGGACAAACATCAGCAGCCCCCACAACTTTCTCGGTGTATTTTAAATCCCAAAGCACCATCTTAATTCAGAAATCAGAATGTCCACCTAAGTATATTAATCAATATTCTTTGTACGATCACGCTTCTCTGCTCCTCACCGGGGCCTGGAAAAGGGTCACCTTCCTTCCAGAAATAGAAGGTGGTCAATTTCCCTCCTCCTCTTCCCCTCGCAGGTTTGGGTACCCGGTCGGGGAGTGGGAAACGACACAACAGAGCAGGCTCTGAGCCGGCTCCACACGATCTGGCCCTGACATTTAAGGCTCCCTCTCCTGGCCATCTCTCTGGGTTCTTTGGAGGATCCCTCCCAGACCTTTCAGCCACCACTCGCTTTGCTGGGGCCGTGCCTTGATTTCAGTGGACTGTTCCTGGTGACCTTCACACTCTAGTCCAGACAGTTCTCTCCTCCCACAGGCTGCCATCTTGCGTAGGATCCCTCGTTAGTGGCTCCTAGCTGGTGTCCATAGCCGGGATCCCTCAGGGAGGCCTGAACAGTCCTGCGACACCGCCCCACTGTCAAAGACAACTCTCTTTCCTATCAGCCTGGCAGTAACTCTGTCTCATACTCTCCCCCTTTTCTCTCTCCCTCCCCCTCTCTTCCTCTTTACCTCCATTGTTCCCCCCCCCACACACACACCCCCCATTCTCCCTTACCAGTCCTGATGCCTCAGGACTGAGGGACACATCCCCTGGCCTCTAGATTCCTTTCTGTGTCAATTCCAGGCAAAATGTCCCCACAGCCATAGTACACATAGTGAGCCTCCATGGGGTGCTGTCGATGGGGGGAGGGCCCAGCACCTACCACCTCTCTGCCCCAAGGAATGGGGTTCACAGCCAAGCTCACTCCCCAGAAAACCTCTGCATAAATCTTTAACTCCTGCAGCTGGTGAAGGATGGCCCACTAGGTAACCAGAAGCCTTGGCCAGTTTATGGTCACTGGGTACAGGCAGACTCCTCCCTC